AGGGGCAGACTGCAGTTAATCCTCTGGGTTAGTTGGGAATCTAGTTGCATAATTGCAGCTCTGTTTGGATTTTCCTTCCTGATGGATGTCCAATAGTATAAATGGATGCACAAATTTGAAAATACAGTTGTGTTAAATATTTCTACAGATGGGGTGATCCAGTACAATTTTACTTTGGTGTAAGCCATTTCAAAGTGAAAGCGGGTTGTTCACCAATGGCAAGAAATGTAGTGCAAATCTAGAATCCTCTTCCCTCAAAATAGCTGTGGGTACTGGGGAACATTGTAGTTCTTAAGACTGATTGGTTGTTAGTTTTTATTTTATTCATTGGTGGAAGGTGGGCATCGTTGGCTGGCCAGAATTTATTATCCATCTCTAGCTGTCCTTGAGAAGATGGTGATGAGCTACAGTCTATGTGCTGTAGATGAGAGGAGGCTCAGTTCTTATGAGTCTGGAATAACTCTGACTCTGCTAATAGAGTTGTAGTTTCTGGGTGTGCCTCTATCATTTTTGCTGAATCCTTGGGACTGTATTCATCTGTTTCAGTGGACCAAAACACTTGCATCTTAATTCGGTCCTCAACATAACGCAGCGCTTCATTAATCTTGTCTCTTGTCTGTCTAACCACAGTGGGACGGAATTAATCCATTCTGGGAATCTATTAATTTAGTCCCACTCATAACTGTCTTTCATGTCAATGTCTGGAATATATATTATTGGTGGGCTGTACTTGGCTTTTTACTTGCCGCCTGCTTGTTATCCCACTTGTCGTCTAACCAAGACCCTTGGGGTTTTTTCTTCTTGTTCTTTTCCCTTTCCTGATCTTAATGTATTAAGACATTCTGCATCTGTAGTACCTCCCCTTGAGTAGTCTCTTGGCTTCTTATCTCTTTTGATTTCATGTGATAGAATCTTTTGCTTGCCCCTATAGTTTCTTCTTCTGACAACAAATACTAATAAAAAACAATACTATGGCTTCTGCTTGTTTTCAGTCATATGGGGTGCATTTGGGTGGTGGCCCAGTCATGTGGGTTGGGTGCTCTTTGCTGTTTTAGCTTGTCCCCCTGACGAGTTTCAATGCAAATATTGGTTTTCTAACCTGAAGATTCTTTGCAGAATATAAAGTACCATCTTTCATTAACAGGACAAGTACAGTGGAACAGCAACATTCTATATAACTAAACCGTCCAGTGGTGCCCATGTACTGAAACTGTAAGAACATATTCTCACCATCTCAACACTAACAATTATCCACATCCCTTCGATGGAGCCGTGTAACAACCCACAAAGCAACTCTCGCCTGATTCCTGTATATGGAAGAAATTTTTTGACAAATGTGAGAGAGAAAACATTTTTCAGAGAAATTCTGTCAATAACAGACTCTGATGGGTGACAAAAACTGAAACCCCTGACTCCTGGTGAGGAATCAGATATGACCTTTAGTCCATTGGATCCCCTGGCTTAGTGTGGAGTATTGTACAACAGAACCCAACACAGCCATTATGCAGATATATTTGGGAGAGCTGCCTGTCATCTGCAGTACTATAACTAGTTTGAAGGAGTCACCAGTCTCTTTCCCAGGTCCTCCATGTTTATACCAGGGCTGCTTGATGCATATTGGGTTTGTAACTAAAGCAGGTAAGTGGAATTGAGATACAGGTCAGCCGTGATCTAATTGAATGAACACAAGAATAAAAATCAGGTCATTCAGCCCCTCGAGCCTGGTCTGTCATTTGATAAGATCATGGCTGATTTGATTGTGGCCTCACTCCACGTTCCTTTTCTGCCCTCAATCCTTGAGGCCCCTGGTGATCAAAAATCTGCCTAACTCAGCCTTGAATCTATTCAGTGAAGATTGCTGGAATACCTGAAAGGAGCTGAATATTCTGTTCCTGTTTCAATGCTCTTACCATTTTGTACTTGTCAAAATTTTAGTGGCTGTCTCTTCCAACACTGCTGGATGCAGTAGTCTTCTGTTGGCAAGTTAATTAAGCTTTTTGTTTTGTTTTCTTGGAGAAATTGACTTTTACTAGAATGTTACTTCAGGGCACTGGACCCCTCTCTCCCTTAATAGTGTATCCATGTGGCCATTCTCTGTGTTTGAGCCTACACTGTGAGCATTGATAGGTTACTGCTACTGCACAAGGATTACTTGATGTCTACACCTGCAGGTCTCACCAGAGCCCACTGCATTGTGATCGAGCACTGAACCTAGAACTTTATTCTGTGAGATTCAGTACCAACCTAGGCTATGGACCTAACCCACTAAGCCATCCAGAGAAGAATTGAAGTGTTGGTGTGTGAACCATAGTTATTGATGAGCACATTAGGATGTGACAGAACTGCTACTTCTTGGTACATGGTACCATTTGTCCCAGGTTTTTCTGTTGTTTCTCAATAAAATTTAGGGTACAGTTTATGCAAATTCACAGTTCAGCTGTTCTTTGAGATATCCATATTTTCCACTCAAAAAATCCAGTAACACAAAAAAAAACTTCGTATGGTGGTCTGAAGTGTTTGCTATTTTAACCCAATGAACCTAAAAAGAAATTGCACAATACATGTCTTCCATGGTACGTATAGAAGATGCTCGACATCTTTGCTTTGGAAACTATTGTCTGAGGAAATCTATGTTTGAAGTTAGTCAGAGAAATGATATCGCCTGCAAATTCAAACTCTGGCACTGTTCCATTAGATCGTGGGTGATCTATAATCGACTGGCATTAGTTTTATAACCATCACTACCTTTACTTGGGAAAAGGTTATCTATTTCAGTTTTTAGCAGAGGAAACAGTTTCTTCTTTCACCTTCCATTCACCACCTAAAACACTCTTGGATAACCCCTTAAACCTCTATACTATTCACAACAGATTCCAGTCTGTAATACAAACCATGCACCACACTGACCATTCCTAATGGAGTTGTTTTTATATGTGGTGATTTGTTAAATTTAAGTACAGTTGCCTTTTGGGGTTGCTTGTACCCCTCCCTCATTTCCCAAAAAGAAGTTTCCACTCACCTCCTCTTCACCCAGCTTCTGTTTCTTTTCTTGTCTCAGTCGAGGACCGATCGACTATCATTTGAGGCACCGTTGCTGCTGCGAATGGCCTGTTGACAGTAACAGTAGTATAGCCACTGGTCTTGTTTAACATTTGAACGAGAATCATGTTTTTGCTGTTGAGTTGGAAAATACCAATAATGGAGCTGACCTGATTGTTGGGAATTGTAACATTGTTTTATAGGCTTGGAATTATTCAGGCCCTGAAAGTGAGGGGCAACAGTGCTAATATCTGGAACATTGTCAAAGTAGAGACACTTGTTAATATGTAGCTCAGAAAAATCAGAAATTTGGTGGAGAATTCCTGCCCAGTCACTAAATGTTGGGAAATAATTGTTACTTGGAGAGTTTCAAATTTTCTGACTTTCAGTTAACATTACCAAAATGGTACATATCGCGTGTGTCTGTTCCCGATTTTGTTGCTAGCGAGTTGAGACTCGGTACAAAACCAGAATATTTAACTAAAGACTTGAATTTGTATAGCATGTTTCACAAACTCTGAACATTCCAAAGTACTTCCCAGTCAAAGTCTATTGTTGAATAGTCTGTGTTATTCTTTAAGAAACATGGCATCCAGTTTCAAGACTACTGTAACTCATGACATGATTTGGCCAGATACCAGAAACAGTTCTGCATATGCAATCAGCTTGCATAGATCTCCTGCTGCATGCGAGTTCCTCAAACCCTTTTGTGGTTTAGTAATAGGTAAAGCTTGATCAAATTTATATGCTTCTGAATTTTAGCATTGCAGAATTTAATCTTTAATTATGTTGTTTTAAAGAATGTGGATTGCCTTGTTTAGAATGACGAGCCTTACTACTTCTGGGAATGTTTGAATTATTGTCAGTAAACATTAAGGTACATCTAATTTGGCCATAAAAGGTCAGAGATTTTCAATATGCTATAGTGCATAGTTAATTCATAATTTTCATGGATAATAATCAGAAACTAATGATCAGATGAGGACTGTACTGGCTCCCTCTGTTCAACCTCTTCAGTTGATTAGAACAAATGTTTTAAAGCTCTTTTTTGCACATGATGATACCACTCTCCAATTAAAAATGTAGTTATCTACTTTTGTGGTGAGTAATAAGGAGCCAATGACCAAGGCCTTTTTTGAGTTAAAACATGTGTAAATCTTTTAACTGTTAAATGTGAGGAAAATAATAAAAAAAGCAACATCAAGCATATGGTCTCCGAGTAGTCACTTGCTCCATCTCCTTCCACCCCCAACACGTGCACAGGTACAAAGTTAAAAGAGAATAGTGTCCAAAAAAAAAAACAGTTTTTAGAGTGTTTTGGTTGTCTTTGAGACCTAAGGTATTAATCTGGGGTCAATTTTGGTTTTCTGGCTTCTTGGATGCAGTCTAGTGTAGTGAATGTTGCAGTTATTGAAAATTCTCAATTCCTTAATGATTTTTCTCCAGCTGTTTCTGCGGGAACCAACTTCTTGAGTGAAAATGGAGACAGAAACTTCTATAATTATTTGCTCAAATGCTTTCATAACCTTCCTTGAACTACTAGTTCCAGTGTGTATTTCCAGAATATTCTTTTGGGTTGGTCTGTCTGCGATGGCTATTATGTCAGTGTTTCATACTTTGTTAATGTCAGTCTGAAACCGTGGTAGGATTTAATGGGTGAAAACCTGACAGTTGGCCCAAAAAAGAGTAGTCCGGTTTCACAGTTTCTGTCGATCATTGGCAGAGTTTCCCCATTATCCTTTAATAAAGATGTGGGAAAGTGGGTTGTTTCTGTGCTCCTATTTTCATAACGACTTTCAAATTTAAACCTTTGTTCCAGCAATATCCGTAGTCATCAAGCCTTGTCTCCATGCAGAGAAACATTTGAGATGGATTCTGGGTAATCCAGGATGGGAGAAAACTTTGAGTTTTTTTTCAGTGTGAAGCGGATTTCCTCGACTTTCTTGGAGCAGTAATTACTGTTTTATAAGTTGTTGCATTGTTTTGGAATTTTTGGGGAAAAAAATCAAAATGACAGTACTTTAAAAAAAGAACAGGTACCACTTGGGAGGTGTAAGAAGGGAGCAGTGACCTTTCACGGCTGTCTGACCAGGCAGTGACCTTTCATGGCTGACTGCCTGTGCTGTTATTTCAAGCATCTCTGGAAATCAGAGTTTGGTCTAAGAAAAATAAACAAACAGTAAAATTCACAACTGACCTTGGAGAAACCTCCGTATTGGGAGCTGCTCACAGTAGGGGAACAGTTGTGTGTTTTTTTAAGTCTAACCATTCTGTGTTTTTTTTGTAAATTTGCAGTAGGCTTTTTTTGTTTGTTTTATTGCAATGTGTCTCTAGATTAAACTTTTTTAAATATAGAGGTACTAAGTTACCCTTGAGCAGTGTTTTTAGAACAGTAAGACTGTGCTATTTTCTGGGTCTGTAGATTGTTAAGGTGCAAAGATGGCTTTTAGTTGAATGATGTGCTTGTCCTGTCAGATGTGGGAAATTTGGGAGAATTTCCATGTTACTAATGATTATGTCTGCAGGAAGTGTGTTTGGTTGCGAATCCTTTCAGAATGCATGGATAGGTTGGAGCGGCAGTTAGAGGTAATGAGGAATTTACAGGAACAGTGGGTGTGATGGATGGCAATTTCAGGAACGTAGAAAAAGCACAGATACAGTCAGGTAGATGGGTTACCAATAGGAAGAGTAGGAGAGGTAGGCAGATAGTGCAGGAGTTTCCTTTGGCTATCCCCATCTCAAACAAGTATACTGATGGAAAATGTAGGGGGTAATGGACTGTCAAGGGAATGTAGCACCAATAACCAAGTTTCTGGTACTGAGACGGGCTGTACTGTAATGAAGGGTATGTCAGGTTCCAAGCGATTGATTGTGATAGGGGACTCTTTAGTCAGAGGCATAGACAGACATTTCTATGGCTGGCAACAAAATATCAGAATGGTGTGTTGCCTCCCTAGTGCCAGGGTGAAGAATGTGAGGGTGCAGAATATTCTCAAAGGGGAGAGAGACCAGCAGAAGGTCATTGTAAACATTGGAACCAATGACATTGGAAGAGAAGAGGACGAGGTTCTGAGGAGAGAATGTAGTAAATTAGGCAGGAAGGCAAAAAGTAGGTCCTCGAGAGTAGTAACATTTGAATTACTCCCAGTGCCATGTGCTAGTGAGAGTAGGAATAGGAGGATACAGCAGAAAAGGATAGACCTGATCTAAAAGTTCTAAATTGGAGGAAGGCCAATTTTAACGGTATTAGGCAAGAACTTTCAAAATTTGATTAGAGGCGGATATTTGCAGATAAAGGGATGGCTGGAAAATGGGAAACTTTCAAAAATGAGGTACCGAGAGTCCAGAGACAGTATGTTCCTGTTAGGGTGAAGGGCAAGGCTAGTAGGTGTAGGGAATGCTGAATGACTAGAGAAATTGAGGAAGAAAAAGGAAGTATATGTGAGGTATAAACAGCAGGGATCAAGTGAACACCTAGAGGAGTATACTGAAGGGAAATCAGGAGGCCAAAAAGGGGACATGAGATAGCTTTGGTAAATAGGGTCATGGAGAATCCAAAGGTTTTCCACAATACATTAAGGACAAAAGAGTAACTAGGGAGAGAACAGGGCCCCCTAAAAATCAGCAAAGTCACGTATATGTGGAACTGCAGGAGATAGGTGAGATACTAAATGAGTATTTTGCAGGATGGAGAAGGATTTGGAAGCTAGAGATCTTGGGAAATAAATAGCGGTATCTTGAAAATCTATATTACAGTGGAGGACATGCTGGATGTCTTAAAATGCATAAAGGTGGATAAATCCCCGGGACCTAATCAGGTGTACCCTAGAATTCTGTGGGAAGCTAGGGAAGTGATTACTGGGCCCCTCACTGAGATATTTGTATCATTGAGAGCCACAGTGAAGTGCTAGAAGGCTGGAGGTTGGCTAACATGGAATCTTTATTTAAGAAAGGTGGAAAGGAAAAGCCAGGGAACTATAAATCAGTGAGCCTGGCATCAGTTGTTAGAGGGGATTCTGAGGGGCAGGATTTACATACACCTGGAAAGGCAAGGACTGATTAAGGATAGTCAACATGGCTTTGTGCATGGGAAATTATGTCCCACTAACTTGACTGAGTTTTTTGAAGAAGTGACGAAGAGGATTGATGAAGGCATAGTGGTGAACATTGTCTATGTGGACTTCAATAAGGCATTCAACAAGGTTCCTCATGGTAGACTGGTTAACAAGGTTAGATCACAGTGAATACAGGGAGAACTGGTCATTTGGATACAAAATTGACTCAAAGGTAGGAGATAGAGGGTGGAGTGGAGGGTTGTTTTTCAGATTGGAGGCTGTGACCAGCGGTGTGCCGCAAGGATCAGTGCTGGGTCCACTGCTTTTTTTCATTTATATAAATGATTTGGACGTAAATATAGTAGGAATGGTTAAGTTTGCAGATGACACCAAAATTGGTGGTGTAGTGGACAGCCAAGAAGATTACCTCTGAGCAAAACAGGACCTTGATTAGATGGGCCAAGAAGTGGCAGATGAAGTTTAATCTAGATAAATGTGAGGTGCTACGTTTTGGTAGGGCAAATCAGGGCAGGACTTATGCACTTAATGGTAAGGTTATTGTCGAACAAAGGGACCTTGGAGTGCAGTTCCTTGAAAGTGGAGTCACAGATAGACAGGGTAGTGAAGAAGGTGTTTGATACAATTGCCTGTAATGGTCAGTGCATTGAATATGGGAGATGAGGGGTCATGTTGCAGCTGTACAGGACATTGATTAGGCCACTTCTGGAATACCGCATTCAATTTTGGTCTCCCTGTTATAGGAAGGATTTTGTTAAATTTGAAAGGGTTCAGAAAAATGTTGCCAGAGTTAGAAGGTTTGAGTTATAGGGAGAGGCTGATTAGGCTGGGGCTATTTTCCCTGGAGTATAGAGGTTTATAAAATCACGAGGGGCATGGATAGGAGGAATAGTTAAGGCCTTTTCCCCAGGGTAGGGGAGTCCAAAACTAGAAATCATCGGTTTAAGGTGAGAGGGTAAAGATTTAAAAGGGACCTAAGGAGCAACTTTTCGTGCAGAGGGTGGTGTGTATATGTAATGAGCTGTTGGATGAAGTGGTCGAGGTTGGTACAATTACAACCTTTAAAGGGCATCTGGATGGGTATATGAATAGGAAGGGTTTGGAGGGATATGGGCCAAATGCTGGCAAATGGGACTAGATCAATTTAGGATATCTGGTTAGCATGGAAGAGTTGGACCTAAGGGTCTGCTTCCATGATGTATATCTCTATGACTCTATGGTCTCACTGTGAGCTATATGATTCCAGATTAATTTTAATTCTAGGTAACTACCCCTTGGATAGCCTTTTCCAGGTATGATAATCTGTAATAGCCATTAGGCATTTCTTTGTGTAATCCTGGAATTTGACTGCTTTAGGCCAGATAACTTTGGTAACCTTTTTAAAGTGATCAGCTCATGTCTAACTTTAATTTCCTCTCTATCTCAAAGTCTGAGACTTCTATATTAGCTGTGGAAAATTGGGCTTGAAAGTGAAGCAGTTGATACAATAAGTACAAATGTTCCCAATTTTTTTAAAAACTGAAAGAATTGCAGATGCTGTAAATCAGGAACAAAACCAGAAGTTGCTGGAAAAGCTCAGCAGGTCTGGCAGCATCTGTGAAGAAAAAAATTAGAGTTAACATTTTGGGTCTGGTGACCCTTCCTCAGAACTGATGGTAGCTGGGAAAACATCAGTTTATTTGCAGAAAATAGGGAGGGGAATGGGGTGGGGAGTAAATAATAGGATAGAGTCCGAAGAGAGAGAAAAGCAGTTGGATAGACAAAGGAGTTGGTAACAATCTGGCTAGGACAGTGAATAGCTGTCAATGGGGATTGGTAGTGACTAACAATAGGTTGTGTGTAATGGCAGACTATGTGATAACAAGACCTGGTGTGTGGGGTAGGGGGCTGGGACATGGGAGAATTTAGGCCCTAAAATTATTGAACTCAATATTGAGTCGGAGGGCTGCAGGGTCCCCAAGTGGAAAAGGAGGTGTTGTTCTTCCAGCTTGCGTTGGGTTCACTGGAACACTGCAGCAAGCCAGAGACAGACATGTTGGCCTGGGAACAGGGTGGTGCATTAAAGTGCAGGCAACTGGAAGCTCACGGTCTTTTTGCGAGCAGAACATAGACGTTCTGCAAAGCAGTCACC